ATATATATATATATATATATATATATATATATATATATATATATATTAAAATAAGATAAAGTATCAGTCATAGTATGACAATAAAACATTGTACAACTATAGTTATAAACTTGTACAAATTACAAAAAATATTCATCGAATAAACTTTGGCAATCTAATTTCGCATAAAAAAATATAAGGGTTGAATAAATTGTCGACTTTTACCCATCTATTATACACACGACTCTTGTATTTCGCGGTTGTATGAATAAGGCAATAAAATAGAACGTAATGTGTGATAATGAAATCTGTGTTTTTATTTCTCTCTCTTTCATTTTCTTTGCGTGATTACACACAGACTCATGGATTTAAGATATTCGTTAAACACAATCAGTAAAAAAGAAACGAAATCGTATATCTAAAATAATTGTATGTACATATTTTATGCATCTGAAAAATTAATTCAAAAAATACATTTGAAATTCTCTTTTCGGTAGTATTAAAAACCAGTATGCAGTTTTGAACATAAGAAACATTGTGATTACCTGATTTCAATTTATTGTTATGTTTGAACATGAGCGTGAACAGATTTAATTCGAAATACATCAAATATATTAGTAACACTCCGAATGGAAGACTCTTGGATTTATTGGCGCTTGCGATAGCGTGATTTCCAGTCTCGTTTATGTCGTGCGAAAGGATTGTTAATTTAATAGAATCGCAATTATTATCATTTGTTTGTGAGAGAGAGAAAGAGAAAGTTGTATGCATGGCTGTGTGTTGTAATATCCGTCGTGCAAGTACTGTAGAACAGACATTAAGTTACTAAAGGTTTTTAAACCTTTAAAATCTAGTGTTCCAAAGAGTGAAATTTAAAACTACGATCGACCTAACGTATATAATACAATATTTGTATTCACTTTAGATATGTCATATGAAGACATTTAGTAATAAAGTTACTTTTCATTTAAATCTCAACATTTTTCTTCTTTTTTTTTTTCTAAATATTTATTATGTTATCTGTATGAATTTGTATATTTATTTCATTCACAAAATTTGTTCAAACCTAGTTTTTACAATACAAACATTCTTAATTAGTAAATATCCAACACCCATGTGCAATAAATTCCAAGAAGACTTAACCATTCAACACATTTTCCAGGACTACCCAAATCTTCAAAACATTCAAAACATACTGTCAATATCAGACAGGTTAGATGAAGCCCTAAATTAAGACAATTCCATTAAAAGTTTACATTTTTCTTTTACAAAAATGAATATCGTAAATAACCTTTAACCAATATGATAAAATATTAAGACTTGTACATTTAAACTTAAGGGTAAATGTAACATACACAAAATGACATTTACAGAAGGCTAATAACCTCAGATTCTAAAGCCTTTATTTTTAATAGAAAAAAATACAAATACAAAATACAAACAAAAAACCGAGGCGGTACTGGAAAAACGTTTCCCCAGTAACCCCCGATAGAAACGATAGTGGCATTACGGTTTTTTCTGTCTCATAATTTAGTATGGAACTTGTATGAATTTGCATGGCTATTCGTGAAATTTGTGTAATAATAATAAAATAAAACGAGACTCCTTGGTCGGATGAGAAACAACGGTTGCATGAGATACAAGGATGGGTGACTGGTATTACTGTAGTTTTGGTATTTTAAACTTGAAGCCAATTTACCATTACTCTCGAAAAGAACGATTCTAAGTAAAAGAGGTCGGATAGATCAGTCTATATTTCTAAAGATGGTTGATACAGTAGAATAATTCAATTTAATAACCTTAAAAAGGTCAACATACGCCGAAAAAAAGAAAAAAAACATCTCGAATTTGGGAAAATCGAAAATTGAAAGTGCCTATAAACAACACAGGCTTCATTAGCATAATTAAGTACTGTAATATGTATAAATAAGTAATATCGTTTAATGGAATATTCGTTGAAATATCCAATTTATTCAAGAAAATGCAACAGTTTTTTGTGAATATTTAATGTTTACGATTTGATACATTTTCTTTACAATTAAATTTAAAAAATGTTCGCGATATTTAAGAAAAACTAAGTAAATTAAATCTATTAACACGAACGATTAATTTTTATCCAAAAATAATAATATACCGTAATATATCCGACTAAATTTCCTAATTTTCACGTTAGTTGCTTTCGCTGTTAAAACATTTCGTCATTTCTATACTGGTTGTTTATTGTTCGCGATTTCAACCGGCACCGATCGAAACGGTCCCTATGTTGCCCGTTCCTGCTGTACGGCGTACAAAAGCCGTACATGCGCCATCCACTATGAACGCGTTGATAATAATGAGACGAAAAATCGTCGTAATAATTGTGATCTAAAAGATATGACGTGCAAACGTTTTCGCCGCGCGCTGCGGAATGACTCTTGCCGACTACACAATACATTATACATTTCTTCGGGGGTCATGGTTGCCACCCCTACGGCCGTCTGTTTGAGCCTCTACAACCATTACGGTCGGTAAGCTAGAAGTTTCGATGGCGAACGGAATTAGATCGCTTTGAACTGCTTCGGTGCACAATGGAGAATATTGGGGACTCTTCATAAATAAGCATGCTCGACCGACATAAATTCCGATACGGTCTACGCCGTTCACCCCTACCCCAACCCCTGCCGCGCTCCATTATTCGTATATGGATTTTTTTATTTTTATTTATTTATTTTATTTTATTTTTTTTTTTTTTTTCATTCCGCCCCGACTGATTTTAATGAGAGTTGTTTCATGCGAATCCTTTTCTTCTGGCGAAACGCGATTTCAGTGGTGAAATATTAAACAATTGCGTTTGTTACCGTCATTGTTGTACACGTATATTTATCTGGGTACAATGATATACATATATTAATGGTGGAGCGTCCGTGAAACGCACGGCGAATTGATGATGGCCGTTATTATAACATTGTATCGAATGCGCGCGCGCGAATTATATGTACACGCTTTTTTTTTTATATATATATATATACGTTTGTCCGCAGACACGTTATATATTATTTACGAACACGTTGTTATGTTATTATTATTTTGTTTTGTATGTTTATTGACTACTGGCTCTCATTCAGCTCGTCGCAGCGGTTAAACGCCGAATTCAATGTTTCGCCACCATTCAGTTTTAACGGATTTTAAGGACTTGAAATTGTTTTTTAATTTTAATTGTTAATTATAATTTTATATAATTTATATTCAGCATAACCGAGAGCGCTGAACGACTACAGTCTAAGAGCGACTGTGACATTTTCGTCGTGTTCAGATCGTTATTTTTGTTTTTCCGCCCTCCAATTAATTAACCTATACCGTTGCTGCTCGCTCTATTTTTCAAGCGAATAACAGCAAAAACCAGCTAATACGTTTTCTTTATTTCGCAAACGCGTATAAAACTTTTCTTTCTCTCTCTCTCTCTCTCTCTCTGTCTCACTATGCAGTTTAATTAGAAAAGTTGTACTTTGTCCGCCATACGCACTCAATCGCGTATTGTGTTGAAATAATTTCTCTCGTCTATACCTACTGCGTATACAATTAGATGATAATGTACAATGTACATTTTAATAATGAGAAACGAGTTGTTCGCATCTCGATAACCGTTCTTATGCCTTTTCTCATCTCGATTGCGCATTTTTTTTCATTTTTCCATCCAAGACACTAGGTTACTTTTGTGATGTCTTGTCAACTGCGTATTCTGTGTTGTCATCGACCGCGCACCGCACACACTTCGACTACCGAACTATACGTGGGTCTTACACGTACATACGCAAAACCCGCATTTTGTTTAAACGAAGTTGTTATGGTTTTAATCTTTTTTCCCTCTCACCACCGTTCCGTCCGACTGTACACCCGGTATCATAATCGGAATTGTTTCGTCGTCCGTACAACGGTGAACCCCCGGCGCACCTGTTTAGTGTAGTTCACTAACTCGATTGTTGCGCGTACTGTGTACGGTGACAATCGTTTGCGCACAGCGCACAATTTTTCACCGAGAAACTGACAACTCGTCGGCGTACAACGAAAAACGTGAACACCAGCTAATACAGAGTTTGACCTGAGAAATTACGATTCGTTAACGTACAACTGTTAAATCTCGTTTCCGGTGTAGACTTGTTGTAACTCGTAGTGCCTTACAATAGTACGATTTATCTTAAACATTTCGACAAGATACACTTAATCCCAAAAGTTTTTGATTAGCTGGTGTGAGGATGTTTCGGCTGCGTTTTTAGTTATGTTATTACTACATGCCTACTGTTGAACATGTGATGCTATCGAGAAACGAGTTACCAACGCTTTAATCGTTTTATTTTGTGTAGTACCATTAGTACCATTCACATATCATATGTTTTTGATACACGCAGAGGAAAACGTTGTTTTAATATTGAAAAGTATAGTGAGTTTTGTGTTTTAAAATTAGGTGATCTGTTCTTTATATGTACCAATAAAAAAATGTACAGTTTAAAGAAACGTTTTTTATAGTTTATGAACGCATTCGAGTCCTACGTTTGTTGCAGGTATTAAAAATTCTTATGCAAAATTGTGTAGTATATTTAGACGCAAACGGGTATCGACCGTTCTATACCATTGAAAAAATTGATCAAATAAAAGTGTTTCAAACGTGTTGATGATATTGTAGAGGACAGTAGAGTTCTGTGTCCTTTCGCAGGTTTAATTCTGCAATTTAGACCGTTTAAATCGACAGACAGTGTTGGCATGGAATATGGAATATGACACAGACGTTTACGAATGAGTTAGGTCCAAAACGCCTTCTCCGATAGACCTCGGGCAATGGTCGTTCGCGTTATTGAAATTCGTTTGTCCGAAAGTTTGAGAATTATCAATAAACTATGACTCGGGTGAATGTGTGTGACGGGCATGCGCACGAGAACCGGCAAACAATACACTTCAAAGGATTACCACATTTACTCGTATATGTAGGTAGTATATCGATCGATCGAAAATAGTAACATTAAAACCGCTATCTGTGAGTTGTAGTTGCATAATTTATATTGTATGGAGTGCGAGACCGCTCTTGACAAATATACAGTTTAAAACTATCCGGACTTAAAGATTTTTAGTGGCTAAGATATGAGTTGAATACGATTGTGATTAGACTGAACAATATTCACTTAACCCTTAGAAATCCCAAACAATGTCGAAATACGACATGATTGAGCATAAATATAACTTAACCCTTTTATCAAACGGAAATTAATTTATAATGAATTCATAATTGAAATATGGTTATATGTTTATTCAATCCTAAATCCTAATCTACAATAAACCGTCGAAACGAAACGGAACGCTAAATATCGATCCGACGATCCGAGCTCTCCGATCATCCGGATTCGTTGATGTATCCGGAATCGTCAGGATTTCGGTATTCGCTTTTCGCGTCACTCGTCGCGATCGACGGTAAAACGAACGATTTTCGTTTCGTTGTAGAACGATTAAGTTTAACGGGATGACGTCCGTGGCGGGACTGGGATGCGCGTTTTAACTGGCACGTTTTCGGTTGCAGATCATCGGCATTGTGTCCGTGTTCTTCATCTGCGTGTCCATCCTGTCGTTCTGCCTGAAGACGCACCCGAACATGCGGGTGCCGATCATCAAGAACATCACGGTGAACACGTCGCACAACACGACCGCGTGGGTGCTGGACAAGACGCAGACGAACGCGCACGAGGCGTTCTTCTACATCGAGTGCGTGTGCAACGCGTGGTTCACGTTCGAGATCCTGGTGCGGTTCGTGGCGTCGCCGAACAAGTGCGAGTTCGTGAAGGCGTCGGTGAACATCATCGATTACATCGCCACGCTCAGCTTCTACATCGACCTGACGCTGCAGAAGTTCGCCTCGCACCTGGAGAACGCGGACATCCTGGAGTTCTTCAGCATCATACGCATCATGCGGCTATTCAAGCTCACGCGGCACTCGTCCGGGCTGAAGATCCTGATGCAGACGTTCCGCGCGTCCGCCAAGGAGCTCACGCTGCTCGTGTTCTTCCTGGTGCTGGGCATCGTGATATTCGCCAGCCTGGTGTACTACGCGGAGCGCATCCAGGCCAACCCGCACAACGACTTCAACAGCATACCGCTGGGCCTGTGGTGGGCGCTGGTCACCATGACCACCGTCGGCTATGGCGACATGGCACCCAAGACGTACGTGGGCATGTTCGTGGGCGCGCTGTGCGCGCTGGCCGGCGTGCTCACCATCGCGTTGCCCGTGCCCGTCATCGTGTCCAACTTCGCCATGTACTACTCGCACACGCAGGCCCGGGCCAAGCTGCCCAAGAAGCGTCGCCGCGTGCTGCCGGTCGAGCAGCCGCGCGGGCCCCGGTTGCCCGGCCAGGGACCGCCACCCATGCAGGTCAACCAGCCCGGTGGTGGTGGCGGCGGCGGCGGACCGCTTACCGCGGCGGGCGTCCACACCCCGTGCGCCGGTGTCGGCGGTCTGCCGCCCAACGTGGCCGGGGCACCGGTCAACACGACCGGCGTGCCGGCCGTCAACCGCAGGATGAACG